ACAGAAACTAAGATAGTAAATGTATATTATTTAAGGCAGCTACCTTTGTAGTAAATTGTTATGCAGCATAACAATTGCAAGAAATCTGTTATGCAGAAAACAAATGCAAGAGGTGAGTGTATTTTTCATGAGGAAGGGACATAAATTGAGGTGGCCCAAGGACGGCCTGAGGTAGTTTCCAAAGAGGGCCATGATCAATTCCTTTCCTCTCTGTATATTCATACTGCTCCTCAGATCGAGAGGTGGAATCTAATTCTTTCCTGTTGAGTTTGGACTAGTCTTAGTGTCTTACTCTGACCAATCTAATTATTTCCTGTTGAATTTGGACTGGTCTTAGTGTCTTACTCTGACCAGTGGGATGTGAGAAAAAGTGATGTTCTCAGACTTCAAGGCTAAGTCATAAGGAGTCTTGCAGTTTTTTCCTCAGTCTTTTAGAACCCTCTATCTGGTAGTACTGACTCACCATGTAAGCTGTCTCCCATGCTGAAGGGACCATGTGGACAGGCCATAGAGAGGCCAGGGAGAGAGAGGCCCAGCCACTTAGATTCCATCTGAGTCCTGCTTTCCAGCCTTCCCTGTCAAGGCACGAGACTGTAAGGGAAGACTTTATGAACTCTTCAGCCACTGTCTGAATACCACTGAGTGACTCCAGTTAACATCACAAGGAACAGAATAACTGCCCAGCAGAGCCCCATCCTAATTACTGACCCACAGAATCATGGGTTGCCATCAGGCAGGACCTGGATGATCTCATACAGGAAAGGAGCCACAGGTGGTCATATGTCCACAGGAGTGGGCATATGCATGTTCTCAAATCCTGAGGGTCACTCATACCTGAATGCCTTCTTTTTTATTTTTAAATATATTATACTTTAAGTTCTGGGGTACATGTGCAGAACGTGCAGGTTTGCTACATAGGTATACTGAATGCTTTCAACACTAACCTTAGGATATCTCCTATAGGTGGGCAGGAGGGACTCAACAGTAGAATAATTCCACCTATTTCATCTCAGGGGCCAGGGTTGCATAACATGACTATGCCTAAGTCCTTCATTGACAAGGGGAATGGAATGAACATGATGGCTTTAGACGAATCAGCACTAACCCCTTTCACTGAACACTTGGCTGAACACTCCTTGTGTTGGGAGCCAAGCCATAGTGTCTATCATGATTATTTGATGCCATGGTCATTTTGCCAGGATTCCAACTGATAATGATTTTGCCATAGCTATCTCCACTGCTCACTGGCTGCTGAAGGTCCCATCTTCACTATTGCTTACTGCTTTTTGGTGAGGTTCCCAGAGAAGCAGCTTGCTTTTTTAGGACTTACAGTTTCCTTGAGAATATGGAACAAATTACCCCACAGTTGCATGTGAGGATTATTTAGTGATCCTATCCACTGTCAAGTCAAAAGTGGGTCTTCTCACTAACAATTAGGACACAAACCAGGACAGAGCCCAGATACTCTTCAGCACTCTTCTGTTCTAGGGCAAGTTTCCCCAGGCATGCTTCCTGGAGGTTGATGAAAGCTCTATCTTAGTGGGAACCAGGGGGCCATTTCAAAAAATTCGTTAGGATCAAAGTTCTCTTTCCCAGAAGGTCTAGCAAATTCTTTAATGCATAGGATTCATGATACTTGCCTTTATAGTCCTAGCATTCCCATTAGCTATGCAGATTAGGCCTTTAGCCAACTCTTTACCAGTCATCAAAAATGACTGGAAGCCATTACTAGTTGAAGTGGACTCAGCCACGAGGAGCCTGAGATTTATGACAGCATCTTGAACATGTTAAACATATTAGTACAAAATGGTAAGGTTTCTCTGCATTACAGTGCTTAGAATTAACAATAAGACCAATATCTTAACCTTGAGGCAATTTTGACACATTATAAGAATCAGACTAGTAACCAGGAACTGGAAAGTTTCCATAGGCAGTCAATGGTGTTTTATTACCTCATCTTTTTAAAGAACAATGTATTACTTCATCTCTAGTGTTTTATGTTATTAGAGATTCACTTTTATTGAGCAAGGCTTTAAGAAATGTTACAAAGGGAGGAGTGGGCATATGCATATTCTCAAATCCTGAGGGGAAAATGCTGAAAATAGGGGTCTGGAAGACTTAAACCTTCACATGCTTTTCCTCTCTGGGTTTGATGCTGCAAATGGAAAAGCAGTGCTGTGCTCCTTGAGAGGAGGTTCTAATTAGCACAGCAATGATTCCAAGGCTCTGCTCCCGGGGTTTTAGCGCATTGAAAAATTGAGATTATTAGAATGGAAAACGTTCCCAATGAATAGCTTCCTAGCTTGAAGACTATTGGTCAAACTGAAAAAAAAAAAAAAAAAAAAAAAGAAAGGAAGGAAGAAAAATTTTAAAAAAACAGAGGAGCAGGCCAGGTGCGGTGGCTCATGCCTATAACCTCAGCACTTTGGGAGGCCAAGGCAGGTGGATCACTTGAGGTCAGGAGTTCGAGACCAGCCTGGCCAACATGGTGAAACCCCATCTCTGCTAAGAATGCAAAAATTAGCTGGGTGTAGTGGCACATGCCTGTAATCTCAGCTACTTAGGAGGCTGAGGCAGGAGAATTGCTTGAATCCCAGAGGTGGAGATTGCAGTGAGCTGAGATCACGCCACTGCACCCCAGGCTGGGCAACAGAACGAGACTCTGTCTCAACAAACAAAACCAAACAACCGAGAAGAGCTAGAGACAAAGTGACGTAGGCTTATATACACACCCTGCTATAAATAGAGGTATATACATGGTCCAGAACTTATAATACTCATTCGCCTGAAGACAGAACTATCTAATCAGAAATTGTATGAATGAGGATGTAAGAAAAAAAAATGTGTTCTATTATTTTGATTACATTTTTTTCATTTTCTAAATGCATCATTCAAAAAACTTGCTATAGTCTGATTTCATCGGTAGAATGGTATTTTCCAAAGTTGAGGTGACAGATTTCAGGAACTTCCTAGAAATTTTAGAGCTATCTAGTTGCCTTTTAACTCTGTTTCTAAAACACTGCTGCTTCTGTTATACGTTCTAAGAAAGAAGATTTATGCAATGTAATTTATTCCAGTGAAAAAGCAGGGATTTAAGTTGTCTCATGTCCAACAAAGTTGGATGATATAAGATTTTATTAAAAAATCCAGTGCTTCTATTCTGTTTATTACCTGAACTGGAAAACTGGTATAAATCTTGAAGTTCAGGGAAGGTTGAAAAAAAGGAAATAGTCTCTGCTTCTCCACTGAATGCTTTCTGTTGCCCTGACCCTTCTCTCTCAGTCATTTTCTTGCACTCAAAAGGTCATCTCTTTGGTCTTCCAGTCTTGGTTAAGAGCACTGAGTCTGAAGTTTGAGCCATGTCAGCCAGGGGTTAAGCTGAACACAGTAGAAAGGGATTTAATACAAGAAATTTGATATTTACAAAATCTGTGCAAGAAAACAATTTGGCAGTTGAAAGAATAAAAAAAAAACTAAACATGCAATGATCATAGGACTCAACAATTGCACTCTTGGGTAAAATGAAAACTTATGTTCACACAAAAACCTGTAAGTAAATGTTCACAGCGGCTTTATTGGTAGTGGCCCCAAACTGCAAACAGCTCAGATATTCTTCAGTAAGTAAATGGTTAAACCAATGATTGTACAGCTATACTATGGAATACTACTCAGCAATAAAAATAAATGAGGTCAGTTGCAGTAGCTCACACCTGTAATCCCAGCACTTTGGGAGGCTGAGGCGGGCAGATCACTTGAGGTCAGGAGTTTGAGACCAGTCTGGCCAACATGGTGAAACCTTGCATCTACTAAAATACAAAAATTAGCTGGGTGTGGTGGTGGGCACTTGTATTCCCAGCTACTTGGGTGGCTGAGGCAGGAGAATCACTTGAACTCGGGAGGCATAGGTTGCAGTGAGCCAAGATCGTGCCACCATGCTCCAAGCCTGGGCGACAGAGCAAGACTCCCTTTCAAAAAATGAAAGAATGAATGAATAAATAAATAAATAAATAAAATAACCATATACACAACATGTTAGATGATGAATCTCCGGAAAACTTGAGTGATGAAAGCACATTTCAAAAGATTACTCATTCATAATACTTAAAAAAAAATTGAGACAAGGTCTTGCTCTGTCACTCAGGCCAGTGTGCAGTGGTACGATCATGACTCATTGCAGCAATATCCTGGGATCAAATGAGGTCCCAGCCTCCCAGTAGCTGGGACCAGAGGCACATGCCACCATGCCTGCCTAGTTTTTATTTTTTGTTGAGCTGAGGTCTCACTATATTGTTCAGGCTGGTCTTGAACTCCTAGGTTCAAGCAATTCTACAGCCTTTGTCTTCCAAAGTGTTGGAATTACAGGTGTGAACCACTCCACTCAGCCTATAATACATTTTGAAATGGCAAAATTTTAGAAATAGAGGACAGATTCATGTTTTCAAGGGGTTAGGGATGGAGGTAGGAGGGAGGTGATGCTGTTATAAAAGGGCAACATGAGGTATCCTGGTGGTTTTGGAATCTTGATGGTGGTGGTGGATACATGAATGTACATGTGCAGTAAAACCGTATAGAAGTAGGCCGGGTATGGTGGCTCATGCCTGTAATCCCTGTCCTGTGGGAGGCTGAGGCAGGAGGATCGCTTGAGCCCAGGAGTTCAAGACTAGTCTGGGCAACAAAGTGAGACTCCTGCCTCTACTAAAAACAAACAAACAAACAAAAAATAGCTGGGCATGTTGGCTCATGCTTGTAATTCCAGCTCTGTGAGTGGCCAAGGAGGGAGTATTATTTGAGCCCAGGAGCTCAAGACCAGCCTTGGCAAAAAGTGAGACCTTGTTTCTATTAAAAATAAGCAAATTAAAAAAAAATAAGCAAATTAGCTGAACATGGTGTTGTGTACCTGTGGTCCCAGCTACACAGGAGGCTGAGGCAGCAAATGAGCCTGCGTAACAGAGTGAGACCCTGTCTCAGACAAAACAAACCAAACCAAACGGCAAACCAGTAAATATACATAACTCTTGCACAAATGAGTACAAAAACTGAGGAAATCTGAATGAGATTGGTACATTGTATCAATGCCAATATGCTGCTTGTGTTATTGCACTAGAGTATTTGAAGACACAACTATGTCACTGTATCATTTCTTAAAAATCATTTTAATCTACAATTATCAGTTGAAAAAAATATTTATGAGACAGAGGAAGAAAACTCAGAGGGCAATCAGTGGTTGTTGATGTCAGGGCAGTACCACCATAGCTAAAGGCCAGAATTCAGAAAATCACTCCCGCTGCCATCCTTCTCCCCCAACCCAAGTGGCTCTCATGCCCACGAAAATAGTGACTAGACCCAAACTTGGAATCTAGCTGCCACCAACTGTCATGTCAGTTGGACCAGAAAGCAGAAAGAAGGCTTCTGTTTCACTTCTACCTACCAGACTGAGCAGGAACACATCTAATTGACAAAGCTCAATTTGCTTCCTGTATGTGAGATGCAAATGGTCTGGGACATGTGGCTTTTAGCACTCTAATTTTTCCAAATAGAATATGGAATGGGAGTTGAACGAGCATAATAGCTACCATAACTAGCCCACTAGCTATGTGGCCTTGGGCAAGTTTATTAATGTTTTCAATCCTTAGTTTCTGACGCTACGAAATAAGGATCATTATCATACTGAGCATGGAAAAACTCAAATTGTTTTTCCTCTGTTCTAATACAACACCAATCAACAGAGAAGACTTATGTGACCAAATATGCAAGGGATTTCTCCCCACCAACAAGCAAGCAATCAATTCTGCAGGGGACACCAGCTGGGTTCAATTCCATTTAATTCTGACACTGTCTTCTTGGAGATAGCATCAGATCCCACAGGTTAAGGGCTCAGTCCCCAGTACTGTCTACCCCTCCACCTTCTGATGCCAATTGCAAGCCCCAGGTTATTTTACCTGTGCTTCTGATTGGCTAAAAATTGGGGTTCTCATGACCCACTTCTTAGGTCCACTAATCTGCTAGAGTGGCTCACAGAACTCAGGGAACCCCTTACTCAGGACTACCAGTTTACTATAAAGGATACGACAAAGGATACAGATGAAGCAATGTACAGGGCAAGGTATACGAGAAGAAGCTCAGAGCTTTAGTGCCCACCCTGAAGCGTCACCCTCCATGAACCTCCACGCGTTCAGTTATTGGAACTCTCTGCACAGAGTCCTTTTTGGGTTTTTATGGAGGCTTCATTATGTAGGCATGATTGATTAAATCATTGGCCACTGGTGATCAACTTAGCCATTAGCTTCTCTCCCCTCCTTGCAGGTTAGGAGATGGGACTGAAAGTGCCAGCCCTCTAATCCAGCCTTGGTCTTCACAATGATCAGTCCCCACCCTGAAGCCACCTAAGGGCTGCCAGCCAACAGTGAACTCATTATCATACAAAAGACATCACTGCAGTGATTCTAAGCATTTTAGAAACTGAATGCCAGGAAAACGGAAATGAAGACCAAATATGTATTTTACCACAGCAAACACACTTACCTCCTAGAGTTAGCTGAGATGTAGCACAGTGCGCCGCACAACTCAGATGCTCCCTCCATCCATGCTGGCCATTATCGTGGTTTGTGCAATCTGAGAAAGAAGATTAGCAAATGTTCACAGTGAAAAGCAAAGGAAAGAAAGATTAAAAAAAGAGAAGAGGGAATTTTACAGGGAAAGCAGGGGAATTATTCTTGAATGATTGGCATGTACTCAGTGGCAACAATGGGAAAGAAAGATATGAAAAATGTTATTCCACATATTTAGTTTTGTATAGAATGGTTGACTTTTATCCAATTAGAGAACTTGGAGTTGGAGGCCTCATTCTTCTCTCCACATTTTTTATCATGTTAAAACAAATGTGAAAATGTTATGAAAGTCATAAAATGATGCAATATCATAACCCCTTTAGATTACAATCCCTTGAAGATTATTTCTCCTCTACTGCTGTACCCTCAGCAGCTAGTATGTTTTTGGAGATTAGCAAAGTTTGTGAGTAAAGGTGTCAGCATCAACAACTAGCTACCAAATGTATTTGCCTCTTTTATGACATACGATGAAGTCATTGCATATTATAGTCAGAGTGTCTGTCAATTCAAACGGCTGCTTGTTAAAATCTTTCACTAGCCTTTTAACACCTTTTGGACAAGAGTTTCTCAGCCTCAGCACTATTGACATTTTGGGCCAGAAAAATCTTTGTTATGGGGTGTCCTGTGCACTGCAGATGCTGAGTGAAATACTTGACTTCTACTCATTAGATACCTACAGCACAATTCCATTTGTGACAATCAAAAATGCCTCAAATGTCCCCTGGGGAGCAAAATCGCCCAGGGATGAGAATCGCTTTGTTAGAGGAAAACACAACAGAGCCATTACCCTTGGAGCTTTCCACTACAGCTGGCAGTTTTCCTTCCAGTTAATATAACCCTCTTATGCTGCCCCAGACCCTGTGCTGACTTTGTTCAAGTTGCTCTAATGCTACTGAGAAAATTACAACCCCCCTACCAACCTCTTCCCTCCCAGCCCAAAAACAATTTTAAAAAGAAACGTTTTTCCCTCTGCCAATTATGGGTTGAATTTTTGTCCCTCCCCCAATTAATATGTTGCTATCTTAATCCTTAGTACTTCAGAATGTGACTGTATTTGGAAAGAAGGTCATTAAGGTGGGTCCTAATCAAATGTAACTACCGTTCTTATAAGAATAGGGAGTTTGGACACAGACACACATGTGAACAGAACGCCATGTGAACATGAAGACAGCCAGCTACAAGAAAAGAAGGGAGGCCTCAGAAGAAATCAGCCCTTGATCTTAAACTTCCAGTCTCCAGAACTCTGAGGAAGTAAATTTCTATCGTATGTCACCTCATGGATGGTACATTGCTGTAGCGCACCTACCACCTGTCTTCAGAAGAGTTTTCTAGAGAAATAGCCTTCATTCTTCAAGCTTCCTCTGAACTAACATTTCCCATCATTTTGTAAATATTTTCAGGCCCTAAACATGTTGATTTTATTTCCATTATTTCTTCTACTGACACACACTTCTTAATAGGGCAGGTGTTTGGTGGTGTGACAGGAAATTGGTGTCAACTTCCATTGTTTGTGTGATAGGAGGTCTCAAAGCTACAGGATAAATGTGTCATATCCCCCATAAGTATCAGTTTTGCTCAATGATTTTTTTTTTTTTTTTGAAATGGAGTTTCACTCTTCTTGTCCATGCTGGAGCAAACGGCACAATCTCGGCTCACTGCAACCTCCGCCTCATGGGTTCAAGTGATTCTCCTGCCTCACCCACTACCATACCTGGTTAATATTTTTGTATTTTTAGTAGTGACTCTGTTTCACCATGTTGGCCAGGCTGGTCTCGAACTCCTGACCTCAGGTGATCCACCTACTGTAGCCTCCCAAAGTGCTGGAATTCCAGACATGAGCCACCCGGCCTGGCTTGCTCACTGATTTTTTTAAGGAAAATGTTAATCTGCTCATGCATTCATTTAAAGCGTATTTACATGAAAATGAATATAGTTTTAGCATATTCCCATATATTTCACAGACGTTTCTTATAATATGTTCCTCTAAATGAAAGTGTTACCTCTCCGCAGCTTCAGGGCCTCTTCATCACTCAAAGCAGAGTCCTAAGGGCACAGCATTCTCCTCATAGAATGCAGAGGAGAGGACAGGTGTGAAACCAGACCAGTCTATCTATAAAGCTAAGGAATATTCCTAAGGGACTTGCGGAGGGGGAGAGGGAAGTTTTAAATGCAATCTTGAGCTTTTCTGATTTGGGGGTTCCAGGTCTGCTGTACCTCCTGCATGTTATATTGGGCATAGCCCTAGTAACTCAATGTGTGATTTGAAGTGATGATCTGAAGTTATCCATTAGGGATAGGAATATGGAAAGAGAAGCAGCGCAACGGAGACCTGGAAGTTTCCATCTCTGCACTGGATTGCAGCCAACTGCTTAGGCACACATACCTGCTGTCCTCCCGCCTCTGAGTCACCTCCATCCCTCTCCCTGTCCAACGAGCAGCTGCCAAATGGTAGCGAAATCCAATAAATAAAAGCCGGGACCCCACCTGTGTTTGAATTACTGCCTTTGAAATTTGCCACGTCCAGGTTTATTGACCCGGGCAGTCTTTTCAACATTTCCTTATGCCGCATACGGGTGGGGCCGGGGACTTCCTTGTGCACTGCCAGTCCTCAGAACAGAATACTTTGAATCCAGCTACTTGGAACCTCGTTCCTGGTCCCGACCGAGCCTCAGGGAAAGGCCAGAAGAGCGAGAGCCACCCGAGTTAGTCTCTCCCACATCTGTGACCCGGTTTAGGGGCCTTGCACGGCCAGTGCCCTTCAGGTACCATAAAACCAGCTTTCTCAAAGGAGACTGCAACAGGTTTCCAGGCATTATTTAGCAAAGTCGATGACCCGGACCCTGTGATTCCTGGGTTTGAAAATTCAGAGCTTTAGCCTAACGGAAAGGTCGGCTCAGCGCTTCGCCCAGCATCCTCGGGTGACATTAGCATTCCTCGGAGACTCGGGAGGACTGCGGGGAGGACACCGTGACTGCGTCCAGACCCCCCATGGCCCGCCCCCTCCGCTCTCAGGCCCGCCAAGCGAGAGGCGGGGCGCGAAGCTGCGGCCTCCTTCCTCTTCCCTGAGGCGGCGGCGGGCGGCAGGCCCCGCCCCTCCCACGCGGCGGCCGGCGGCGGGGGGGCGGGGCCTGCTGCAGCGACGCCGGCTGACGCGGATGACGCGGCGCTCGTCAGGCCGCAGCCCCCGCCGCTTGGCCGCCGGGCCAGCCTCGGCCCGCCCCCCGCCCTCCCCGCGCGGCCTCCCGTGCGTCCCTGTCAGAGTGTGGCGGCCGGCCGCGCGGTGCACTCTCCCTCCTTGCCCGCAGCCTGGCTAGGCGCCTCTTACGGCACACCCCCGTGTCCCCGCCGGCGCCGCGCCTGCCCTCCGCCGCGCTCCGCCCTGCTGCCGACCGCACGCCCGCCGCGGGACATGGCACACGCGTCAGCACGCTTCCCCGGCGCCCGGGGATCCGGGGACGGCGAGATGGGCAAGCCCAGAAACGTGGCGCTCATCACCGGCATCACCGGCCAGGTGAGTGCGGGGGCGGGGGCGCGCCGGCCGAGGCCGCCTGGGCACGTGTGCTCTCCTTACGCGCAGCTCCGCGCGGGCTGCGGTGTGTCCAGGAACAGCCCTCTGGGCGTCCCGGAAGGGGTCTGCTGCCGGGAGCTGGGACGGAAGGTGCGGTGCGGGTAGCGTGCTGCGTGTAGGGTGTGCTGGGTGCATCGGGTGCCTCTGGTCTTCCTCTGGGGGCTGTGAGCGTGTGTGCCGCCCGGGATGCCTCCCTCACACCCGGGCCGGACCTCCCGTTCTCACCTGCCTCTCAGGTGACCGCATCGTCGACTCCTCCAAGCCCATTTCATGCTTCGCAGCTCCTAGTGCCGGGAAGGGAAAAGAAGCGGTGATCAGTGAACTTGCGGGTGGGGTCTTCTTGATATATCTGAGCTCAGGGGGCGCTTGCTTACCTGCTAATGTTTGGGAAGCAGAAAAAAGGGTGCCTTGCTGGTTTCGGCCCCTATCACTGGATTTCCAGACAGAAAAGAGAACAAAAAAGAAAGTAGTGCTGGGAAGTCCCCCGCTATGACACATTTAGGGAAAAGAACTTAAAAAGCTTTAAAAAAATCACAGGAACTTCTGAGGTTCAGGTTCAGTCATTTGGAAGTGTATCTGAGACGCAGTGGTCCAAAAGTGAGGCTAGGTTCCATTTCCAAGGGAATAAGTTCCTCGAGTGAGGTAATCAAGAGGAGGTCTCCGGAGTGTCTCAGGCTAAGCATGGCTGGTTTGTGAGAGTCATCTCTCAGAGGTGTTGCAGTAGGTAGGACCCTACCACTGTGCCTTATCAGGCTGTGCTGTTTTAGATTCACTGGTCATGAAGTAATCATGCCCACATAACGCTGTAGAAAAAATGTGATGTGTGTGCCCCTGGATATCTCCAGGTGGTGGCCACTATTTCAGCGCTGAAATAAAGATGATGATAATAGCTAATGCATATTGTGTCTATCATGTTTCAGTCGCTTGACTAATATTAACTCATTTAGTTCTCATAAACTCTTTGAGGAGGTACTTTTATTATCTCTACAGATGTGGAAACTGAGGCATGGGAGTTTGATTTGTCTGAGGTTAAACTGCTGGGAAGTGTCCACTTAATATTGAAACTGCTCTCAAAGTTCTCTAGTGTTGGAAAAGGCTAAGCGGGCAGGAGGCCGTGGCTCATACCTGAAGTCTCAACACCTTGGTAGGCAAAGGCGGAAGGATTGCTTGAGGTGAGGCCAGGAGTTTGAGACCAGCCTCAGCAATGTATTGAGACCTTGTCTCTACAAAAAAAAGAAATTAGGCAGGCATGTTGGTGCTGACCTGTATTTCTAGCTACTCAGGAGGTTGAGGCAGGAGAATCACTTGAGTCTAGGAGTTTAAGCCTGCAATGAGCAATGATGGCACCACTGTACTCCAGCCTGGGGCAACAAAATGAGACCTCGCCTCAACAAAAAAGAAAAAAAGATAGAAGAAGTTGAAATTGGCCAGATACACAGTCACAGAATATTGTACAATTTCAGCTGTTGAATATCTGACTTATTGCTGGTTATTCATGCACCTTGCCATGCTTAAGGCAATCATAATAGACAGGAGTTTGAAAACTTGTAAGAGAGGTGGGTAGGGCAAGGATCTGAGGCTGAGAAATTGAATCCTCGAATTGAGGCAGTAAAACATGTCAGGGCCTACATACTGTCTTCTCCCTTCCTTTCTGCAGATTATTCCCTTTTTTCCATTTTGTCAGACTGGACCTGAAGCACAAATGTTTACTAAGTTTACGTAATCTCTGGAAAGTACGGATTTGATTTTAGTATTGTCAAGAAACTAGTTAAGATGTTAATGTGCTGCGTTGGTGTGGCTTATACCAATTTCCGTGTTCAGCAGTATGAATCAATGGAGATTAGAAATGGAACCTAATCTTCACTTTTAAGAGCAGTCATTTGGCTGGAATTGAGTGGGCAGAAAGGTGTGGAAGTGGGCCCCCACTCTAGTTTGTCCTGCAGGCTGTCATGGGTGTCTACCTGAAGCACCACACTCAGCAGACCTCTCCCTGACCATAATTTTTTGGTTCCTTACTTCATTTCCAACTTTAAACACCTGTCTGGCTTTCAGGCTCATTGTAATCTCTGCCCGTGTTTCTTTCTTCCCTCCAGCATCTGCCCTCTGCATTGCCTCCTCATTTGGTGTTGCATTGGTTTCTGTATCCCCTAGCACAGTGCCGAATAAACACATAAACACTTGCAGATAGAATTTACTGCTCTTCTATGTTTTTTATTTGTGTTTCAGGACAGTGACTCCCAACGTGACTATCAAGGATCTCTGGAGCACTGTGGTGTTAATGCAAGGGGTCTGAAAATCCATATCTTACTGTATGTTTTCTTGATAATATTGGCTGAGAACTTACTGAGCTATTCACTCTGCTAAGCATTTTGCATATCCCAACCTAAGAGGCAGGTATAATAATTACCCCCGGCTAAGTAAGGTTAAGTATGTTCCCTGAGGTCATACATCTAATGAGTGTCAGAACTGAGAGCTGAACCCAGATCTCAGCAGTTGCTCTAAGTCATTTTGTTATACAGACTGTGGTAAGCCTTATGAGACAGAGAGAAATAAATAGTCTTACTCTAAGAAAAGGTTTCAGATTCACTTGCCACTGCTTTGGCACTTAGGGCTATCATGGCATTTGTGCCAAAATGGGCTTTTGAATGGGTTGTCCCAAATTCCCACTTGAGAATTGTGCACACAGCAGGGTGTCCTGTCTGCTGTGCATCTCTAGTATGTATCGTCAGGCTTCTTATTCTAGCCTTCTCCTCCCATCTATTATTGACACACTCTTTTTCCAAGGTGGGAACCTTATTAAATAGGCTTTAAGGAAGCTCAGGCTCTGGCTTTGCATTACTGTCCCTAGGCCCTTTGCCAGCCACTTTTAAAAGCTCACCTCCATTGGCTAAGGATGCTGTTCTTTACTGCGCTATTGGAGATGCTCTTGCTGTTCTTTGGGTACTATTGCGTTGTACCTCTTTGGAGTAATTATTTGTGGCTGAATGGCCTCACAAGTCTTACTCCTTTTAACTTAACTGAAAGCCTCAGTGTTCTTAGCAGCCTAATCCTGACAAATGCAACCATTCCAGGAACTTCCTTTGTATTTACATGTATGCAATCCCTGTTGATTGTATAAGTGATTTACATATCTTTGGTTTTGAGATTATAAACTGCTTTAAGGTAGAAATCTCATTTTCAGCCTATTACCTCCCACATGCCTTCATCTAGTGGTGTTTCAAAAGTGTTGACTTACTTTTTCCATTAGCAGAACACATCTTCACTGCATGTCTGCAGTGTGCAAGGCTTGTTTTGATGCTGCTACAGATATAAAGATGTGAAGGTTGTCGTAGTCCATTTGTGTTCTTATAAAGGAATACCTGAGGCTGGGTAATTTATAAAGAAAAGAGGTTTATTTGGCTCATGGTTCTGAATGCTGTACAAGAAGCATGGCACCAGCATCTGCTTTGGCTGAAAGCTTTAGGCTGCTTCTACTTACGGAGCTGGTGTATGCAGAGATTACATGGTAATAGAGGAAGCAAGAGGTGGGATGGGGGGTGGGATGCCAGGCTTTTTTTAACCAACAGCTCTGGCAGGAACTAATGGAGTGAGGAGTCACTCATTACTGTGAGGGTGACACCAAGCCTTCATGAGGGATCTGCTTCCATGACCCAAACACCTTGTGTTAGTCCCCAACTTCAACATTGGGGATTAAATTTCAGCATGAGATTTGGAGGGGTCAGACATCCAAACTGTAGCATTTCACCCCTGACCCCTAGATCTCATCCTTCTCATGCAAAATAGAGTCATCTTTCTCACATGCAAAATACAATTCCAGTAGCTCCTAAAATTCTTGTTCCAGCACCAACTTAAAAGTTCAAAGTCTTATCTGAAACTCAAAGCAAGTTCCTTCTAGCTATGAGGCTATAAAACGAAAAACAAATATTTTTTTCCAGGATACAATGGTTGTACAGTTACTGGGTAGACATTCCCATTCCAAAAGGGAGAATAAGCCAAAGGAAAGAGGTAACAGGCCCCATGCAAGTAGGGCAGACATAAGATTTTAAAGTTCCAGAATAATCTCCTTTGACTCGGTGTCCTGCATCCTTGGGCACACTGGTTTGAGGGGTGGGCTCCCAAGGTCTTGGCCAGCCCCATTCTCATGGCTTTGCTGGATGCAGCCCATGTTGCTGCTCTTATGGGTTGGAGTCTAATGTCTGTGGCTTTTCCTGCTAGGTTTCATGATGCCGGTGGCTCTGATATTCTGAGATTTGGAGCAATGCCCCATTGGGGACTGTCTGTAGGGGATCTAGCCCCACATATTTTGTGGGCATTGCATTAATAGAGTCATCTCTCTGAAGGGCTTCTGCCTGGACATTTACGCTTTCCAATTTCAATCCCCTGAAATTCTAGGTGGACACTGCCAAGCTTGCACCATTCTTGTATTCTGGGCTCCTGCAGACTCAACACCATGTGGAAACCACCAGGGCTTACAACTTGTACCCTCTGTTGCAGCAGCCCAAGCAGCATCTGGGGCTGTTTCAGCTTCTGTGACTGCAGCAACCAGGACTTTGGAGCAGCATTCAGGACGTTCCAGGGTTCCTTGAGGTGTTCCATGTCAGCTATGCCCTGGGCCTGTCTCCCCAAACCATTCTGTCCTCCTAGGTCTCTGGGCCTCTGCTGGGAGAGGCAGCCTCATAGAGTCTGAGATGCCTTCAGGCCTTTCCCCATTGTTCTATTAGCACCTGGCTCCCTTTTGTCAGTGCTAATCTCTTTAGCAAGTGGTTGTTCCCCAGCACCGTTGGATTTCTTTCCTGAAAAATGCTCTTTCCTTTACTACTAAGTGGCCAGGCTGCAGATTTAAAAAATTTTTCTGATCTGTTTCTCATTTCGCTACAAGTTCTATAAGTAATGCACTTTAAACAGCAAATGCAACAGACTAAATTCTCACCTTCCTACATTGATACTCTAGTGGTGTGATGATGGTGATAATTATTATGGTAGATTAAAATAATTAACAAGTATTGAGCGTTTAGTTTGTGCCAGGTACTCTTCAAAGTGTGTTACATTTTGTTCAAAGTATATTTGTTGAAGCAACAGAGTGCTCCTATGAGGCGGTTTTCTTTTTCTTTTTCCTGTTTTTTTTTTGAGACAGTCTTACGCTGTCGTCCAGTGGCACGATCTTGGTTCACTGCAACCTCTACCTTGCAGGTTCAAGTGATTCTCATGCCTTAGCCTCCCGAGAAGCTGGGATCACAGGTGTTTAAATTACTGCTTAGCTCTTTCTGAGCTGCACTGGCTTTGGTAAGTCACTTATCTTTTCTGCCAGGTTGGAATAGTAATTCTTACCAAATAGGAAATAAGTCTGTACATAGTAGTAGCCTTTGCCTCATTACTGGAATGGACCTTCCCTCCACAGTGTTAAAAGAATAGTAAAAGATTTCTTGACTTTTAGGAAAGGAAGTTGAATGTGGGAGGTATCACTGTTTAGCCTTGCTTTGCATGGGGAATCTGTTATCTAGGAGCAGAAAGTTCTGTAGTATTTGGAATCAACCGCAGCCTGTAAAGTTCTGGGAGGCCAACAAATTTGATGTCCCGTGAGTCTTTCCAGACTGTGCAAAGCAGATTTGGGAGCTGGTCTTATCTTCTCATATAAGAGGATTGTAGGCGTGACTTCCACTCTAAATCTTCCTTGCTGAGATTTGCAGTCCTGGGATAAAACGTTTGGCATTATTGGAGGTGAGAGAGATGTCTTGAGTACTGTCCTGCGTAATCAAAGACTGTTACATGTGATTAATTGAAAGAACTCTGGACTGAGAATCAGAGGTTAGGTTTTGATGCCAATTAATTGTATAGCCTTAATTTGTCAAGCGAAATGGTCACCTGGTTTTCCCTAAGGTCTGCTTCTGGTCTACAGTAGTGTGATGTTTGGATTGCATGCTGACCTATGATTGATTATGCTTACATAAAGAAATTATACAACTATCTTTATATTTAAGCAGTGCAGTGATTCGATTTCAGTTTTAGACATAAAGCCAATAGGATTTCTCTTTTTTTTTTTGAGACAGAGTTTCACTTTGTCACCCAGGCTGGAGTGCAGTGGTGCGATCTCACCCACTGCAACCTCTGTTTCCTGGGTTCAAGTTGATTCTTGTGCCTCAGCCTCCTGAGTAGCTGGGATTACAAGCATGCGTCACCATGCCCAGCTAATTTTTGTATTTTTAGTAGAGATGAGGCTTTGCCATGTTGACCAGGCTGTTCTTGGCCTCAAGTGATCTGCCCACCGTAGCCTCCCAAAGTGCGGGGATTACAGGCATGAGCCACTGTACCTGGCCAGAATAATTTTTTTTTTAAATGAAACCAATGAACTCTTAACTTTACTGAATTTTAAATTAAGTGTGTAAACTAAGAAGAAATTCATATGAGTTGTATGTTGGCAGAATTTGTAAGGGTAGAGTGAAAAATCTGAGCTGTCCATCTTTGTAGGACATACCAAATGAATGAAGTGATGTTTTGGTGAGGAACAATTTTTTTTTAACTGGTACATAATTGTACATATTTATGGGGTATGTGTAATATTTTGGTACATGCATATAATGTGTAATGAACAAAGCAGAGAAATTAGGATAGAGGAAAGATTTTTAAATTCTTGGGTAGAAAAATGGAGTTAATTATGCCCACATCACAAATTGATGTGTGGATTAGAAATGATGAGTATATTATAATAAGGCCTATCATTATTCCTGGCATATATTGTTTATGAAGTGATATTATTATTTATTATGTTTAAGTTCTCACAATGGGAAGGAATGAGAGAAGGATGGAGAATGCTTGGGAATGCAGTTAGGGGTATGTAGGATGAATGCAAGTACTAAAAGGATGGAAGCAGAAACACTGGCTCCTGTAATAAAAGGATGTGAGATCAAGGATGCAAACACATTTTGGAGACAGGTTGGATGGTATCACTATGGCCAGAAATGCAATCACTGGGAAGGAAAATCAGTTTCCTGGGGGAAGATAGTGAATTATTTTGTTTCTCTGGAGTTTCAAGTACAGTGGTGCAATCATAGCTCATTATAGCCTTGAACTCCTGGGCTCAGGTGATTCTCCTGCCTCAGTCTCCCTGGTAGCTGGGCCTGGAGGTTTTTGCCACCATGCCTGGCTAATTTTTTTTTTTTCTTGTAGAGACAGGATCTCACCAGCTGACTGGGCTAGTCTTGAACTCCTGGCCTCAAGCGATCCTCTGGCCTTGGCCTCCCAAGTGCTGATAATACAGGTGTGAGCCAATTCACCTGGCCTCTGTCTTAAAATGACTTGGACTACAGAGGTGACTGCTGTAGAGTGGGCAAGTCCTAAAGGTGGCCATACTGCTGTGTTGTACCCTTAGCCAGTCTTCGTCCCTGTCCCCCAGAACTTTCTGTAGTTCTCATTTATAAGGCATGAAAACTAGCACTTTCCCTTTAGTTTCATGATTGCCATTAACCAAGCTATTCCTAGTATGCTTCAGTTTTCTTCTTTTTTTCTCCCTTATTTATTTGTCAATTATTTGCATTTCCTCTTGCCAAAACCTTGTTAAAGATACTTCCAGGCTAGGTGTGGTGGCTCATGCCTGTAATCCCAGCACTTTGGGAGACCAAGGTGGGTAGTCTCAAACTCCTGAGGTCATGAGGAGTTCGAGACCACCCTGGTCAACATGGAGAAACCCCATCTCTACTAAAAATACAAAATTAGCCGGGCATGGTGGTGGGTGCCTGTAATCTCAGGTACTTGGGAGGCTGAGGCAGGAGAATTGCTTGAACCTGGGTGACAGAGGTTGCAGTGAGCTGAGATTGCACCATTGTGCTACAGCCTGGGCGACAGAGCAAGACTTTGTCCTTTTTTTTTTTTTTTTCAGTAGAAACATTGAAGTTTATTGGCGGTCACAATGCTTACACTGTATGCAGCAAACACCCTTACAAGTCTATCCGCAACCTGATCACACAAGAAAGGATTCATCACACAGTCGCCAGAGGAGAAGGGAAAAAAATTAACAGGACACATTTGGCATTCTGTTTGTCATATACCAGGTTTATCCTTAGTTTAACTGCAAGAGATAGAACCTTCCCCAGGTCACAATCATTCTGTCCAATCCAGCCAAGGTTCCTTCCACATGTGAAGATGGACCATGGCAAAATACAACTGATTGTGTGGAAATATGTATCACATATGTTGCAGCCTGTAATTTTTCAGTGGTTTGCCGCTGTGACTATCCGGCAAGCCCCAGATGGCATTATATTAATTGGATTAGATTATTTTGCTCACCTATGTAATACTGTAACTTCTTACAACCTAGTATTTTCAGTATCATTAACCAAAATTTCACACTCATAGTTCCTAAAGAGAATGTTATTTAATCATTAAACTCTGAACTGGTTCATTTAAATTATCTACCCTTAATTATACGGGTGGTCAACCCTATGCATTTTTTCTATTTCTTGATTATTTAAATTAATTTCCTGTCATTTTGAATCATTTATCACCTGCGATGCATGACTCTTATTAATTTTGTTATGTTACTGTTTTAACCAAAGCTGACTGTAAGGATAAAACACTTAAATTGTTGCTGAGTACCGTATATCCTCAATATGCATGTCTGCCCATCACATCAACTGTTCAGTCAACAAGACGTTTGGTAATTTTTTTTTTTTTTTTTTTTTTTTGAGACAGAGTCTTGTTTTGTCACCAGGCGCCAGGCTGGAGTGCAGTGGTGCGATCTCAGCTCACTGCAGCCTCCGATTCCAAGTTCAGCCTCCTGAGTAGCTGGGATTACAGGTGCAAACTGCCATGCCCAGCTAATTCCCAAAGTGCTGGGATTACAGGCATGAGCCACTGTGCCCGGCTGGCAATTTTTTTTTTAAAAGGTTGGTTACCGTTGTTTTTTTTTTGATTTGTTTTTCACATGGAGATCTTTCTATGACCTAGTTAAGTTACTGCAATTCAGAATTAATTCACGTTACATAAAGAATTACTTCTTTTAAGCAAATGCTGAAACTACCAAACCAGTGGATGAAGACCGCTGAGAACTTTGACAATCTTTTGAAAATATTTTGCAAATATGTGTTTAGACAATAAGATGGACTCGAATTTGACAAAATGATTTATTTAAATTTTTTATAAGTATTTTCTTTGTTACTTTCAAATTCATTGCATGTGTTTTTAATTTACATGAAAACATGAGTTAGGAGAAATTACAAGTTGAATGATAAAATACCTGTAAATAGTAATTCCAGATTGTGTAGGGGAAACAAATCTATGTTGTTTTGAAAGCATACTTTGTATAAGTTATGGGCAGAGGCACAGGCATCCTCAGCAGCTGATTTAGGAGATGATGGTAAAGCTAGCTAACTACGAATTAAATATTGACATATCCAGTCCACCTAGTCCAGTAATAATACAAGCAAATCTTGTATTTCAGGAACAAATCAAGGTTGTCTTAATTTTTTGGCTTGTATGCAATGAGGTGAAACTTGATAACATGGTTTTAAATTAAGGAGGAGAGTCGTGGATGTGTGTTTTGATGTGTTTACCTTATAATTTTGCCTCTAGCCATATGCTATGTTTGCAAAATGTGGTATCTGTTAGTTTTCATTGTCTATATCTTCTTTGTTGACTATATCTGGGTAATTTTGTGTTACCCAAAAAATAAGGAAGCATAATGTGAGACACACAAGAAAAGAAAATCAATGTTGTGAGCTTAAAGTACAATTTCAAAGGTCATTACCAACGCATTTTTTTATACTTTAAA